GGCGGCTCCGGGATGCTGCGGCCGTGGGGCTGGCACGGCCAGGGGCACTGCCCCTGCTCGGCTCGGCTCCCTCCGCAGGCCCCGGGATCAGCCTGGCTGGATGTGGCCGCTTTACCCGCAAACGGGCAGCGCAGCCCCGGCCCTCGTGCTTGCTTTTTGCTGGGGGGGTGGAGCACAGGACACCTTTTGCCCCCCCTCCACTCGTATCACCTGCTGCAGCCGCCACCGAGGTGAAAGGAATGTTGGTTGCGTCCCCCACCTCAATGTTTACCTGCGGCACTTATGAGGATGATGATGGTGGAGGCCAGTAATCGGCCCCTTCGGGGGCTGTAGGGTCGCTTGGCTGCCCGCCTGAGCGGGAGTGGTATCGGGTCTAATTGCCGTCAACGAATGTCGCCGGCAGAAGGAAAAACAAAAGCTGCCTCCAAAGATCCCGGAGCTGAATTTGGCAAGGCTCCTAAAGACACCAATTAGCAAAGGCTAAACCCATTAATGAAGTGGCGGCTCTCTGGTTTCAGCCAGGTGGTGCAGATCAGAGCGCCTGTATCTGCAGCAGAGCTCCGTTTCCCTCCAGCCAGGACCTCACAGAGAACCTCAACATCAATAATACGCTTAATGGATCTCATTAGGGCTGGGGCCGCGAGTCCCGGCCTGGGAGCAGGATGAGGGCAACAGGGAGATGAAGGGAGCGGTGGGGGGGGATGAAGTGGTCGGGGAGGCAACGCTCCCTTCGCCCCGAGACAGTCTCCCTCCGCGGGTACCTGCCGCTTCCCGCTACCTGCCAAAGCTCACGGGTTTGGTGAACTCCATCTCTAGCCGGCTTTATCGAATAAACGAGATCTTGGCATCACCTTGCCGGTCTCATCCACCTCCTCACCCCTTCGTCTGAGCACCCTTAGTTCCACCCGAGCTTCGAGAACCCTCGGCCAGGCCGGCTCCGCGAAGTCGGGCAGCCCCCGCCGCCGCCCGGAGCTGTGGAAGCAGGCAAAGGGAAGTGATTTGGAAAGAAAACCATCCAGACCTCACCTTTGTAAAAGCGGACAGAGGAAAGGGAGGAAGCATTTCCGCTTCACATGTGGGAAAACATCAAATAAAGAGGGGGAAAGGAACACTGCGGTAGGATAAGCTCTGCCGAGGTGAGCTAGAATATTTAGCTAATGGAGGTGGACTATGAAAGGAGACTTCATATTTCTCTCCGAGGAGTCTCTCCAGGTCCGCAGCCGAGAATATACACAGCAAACGTTGTACTTGAATTATAGCTGAGGGTTTGCTTTATTTGAATTCACTGCTGTTTATTTAAGAAAGTGAATAAAGGTTTTGTGTAAACAGCCATTATTTCTGATGGGCGCTCAACAGCAATAAGGAGGGGGTGGGTTTTTTAGTAGAGATTGTGGCAAAAGTTGACATTGGGAGATTGCAGTTTGTCTTGCCGACGCCAGGCAGTCCCGAGGCATGAACTGCAGGGAGAGCTGTGTGTGCCTGCGAGTGTGAACCGGCGATGCCGAGCGGAACGGGGTCTGAAAACAATTATTTTTTAAGACATCAGCCTAAGCCCGACATTAAAATAAAGCAAAAATATTTTCCTAAGGAGCGGGGCCGAGCTCACCTAACGAGGAAGGCGAACTCGGGTTTCGTTGCCTACGAGGACTCTGCAGGGGGGGCAGCATCGACCCAGGGGGTCGCGGGGGACCCTTTTAACCCCCCCTTCCCAAAACCCCAGAGCAAGCTCCTCACCCGGCCTTTATTGCACCGTAAATCGCTCAAAATATCGCGTCTGATTTGGTTCATTATTGTGTTTTGTTGGGTTTTTTTTTTCTTCCAACGTGGCGGTGATTTCTGAGGTTGACTCCAGTTTCTTTGGAGATGGGAGGTTTCTGTGAAGAAATCAGGCGAGGGGAAAAGGATCTCGTTGGACACCTTAACACAGAGTCCACAGGAAAGGAGGGTTATTGGGGAGCTACTCCCCGGGACGGAGCTCGGCAGGAGCTGGTTCTGACCAGCCCGGTTCCGCATCCCAGCGGGTGTGAATGTTCCTGACGGGGCTGGGACGTCGGGGCGGCCTCCTATTTCGGTATTAGCCCCATTCCCACACATGCCAAGCAGGAAGGAGGCAGGGAAGCCTCGGTTCTTTGCGTATCGCTCCTGTTTCTTGGTCTCCCGTACAACTAATTTCTAATAAACTCGAAAAATCTGTGCCCGGCAGTCGGGGAGGGAAAGCAGAGCGGTTTTGTGCCGGAGAGCCTGGCCTTGGCCTGGCGTGAGCAGCGGACTTCGAGGGCAACGACGAGGAAGCCCCTACCGGCCCCTACGAGGAGATCCCGGGCAGGGGGTGCTGCTCCAGCACAGACTCATGTCTGCGGGGGGTGTCTAACCCAAGGGATCTGAGATCGGCTGCCAGGGGTCTGGAAAGAGACACAACGGGTTTGGGGAAGTGGGGTAAAGAAACTGCCCGAAAATCTTGCAACCCCCTCGTTGAAAGACCGTCGAGGAATTGGATCGGTGGGGGAACCGTGGGCTCCTTCAGAAATCACCGGCGTCAGAAGCCTTGCCCGTTATCAGTTGGTAGTAAAGCAAACAAAAAAAGGGCACCCCAGGAGGTTTTGGACCTGCTCAGGGCGGGTGGGGTGCGTTGGATACTGCCAGGTCGATTTCGCCGATGAACGGCGATCGAGCTGCCTGCAGTCTCGACACTGTTACGACTTTTTTGTCCGCAGAAATTGAGTAGTAACTGCAGCCGCGCAGGACGGGGGAAACCCCCTGTCGAGACGGGCACAAATCCCCTCATCTGCGCATCCTTCCCAAAACTCGCTTTCACGGCTTTGCTCTACCTGCCCGAGGAAGTGCACAACGGCAACAATGGAGGAGAGAGATTCTCTTTTCCCTATCACTGAATGAAAGTGTAAAACCCCACCTCCCAGCCGCAGTCCGAGGCGCGCGGAGAACCAAAACCTGGAGGTGGAGAGGCAGGGAAGCAAAATGGGCTGCAGGGCGAAGGAATTTCATGCGAACTCTTTCATTCGGATCTGAGCATCTTCCTCCGTAGCCTGCTGAGTCCTAACAGTGCTATTTTTTACCCCCTTTTGCAGCGTTACCTTCAAAAGGTGCCATAAAGGCGCTGCTCGTGCTCTCCCCACCCTCTACCCAGGCTCCAGGCGGGCATTGCTCTCCCGTTATTCAGGGAGGTGAAGGGGGAGCCCTGTGCTTGGAAGAGGCTCAGATTCTTCTAACCCAGGGGAAAAGAAACTCTTTCCCGACGCGCTTTTCCTTTCTCATCTGTCAAGAGCCACCTCAAACCCCTCTCTCCCGCTCGGAAGGGGAGAGGGAAGCAAAACCAACAGGCAAACAAATTCCTGCGTGCCCGTACACCACATCACGGTGGTTTGTCGGAGGAGGACCAGCCGTGTTTCGCCAAACATCTGTCCCATAGGTTCCTTTTCTCTCGGGGGGAAGTTACAACCAATCCCACAGCGATCCCCACTTTGAAGGGCACAGCAGCAGCCCGAGGAACAAACGCTTTCTCGGCTGGAAGCCAACGGTGTGGCCCAATCCGCACCCCGAAAAGCCATGACATCCCCCATTTCCTGCCTGACAGCGTTTTAAAGGCAAAACCAATTCGCAAGCCCCTTCTCAATCCATCTCCCTGCTTCCTTGCCCCAGAGGGGCTCTGACGGGGTCAGCACCACTGGGGCGCTGCCCTGCGCGGGCGCTGGAGCATCTGGGTGCGCAATAGAGCTTTGTGCGCTGCCCTCCTGGAGATGAACCTGCCCGTCATGGCTCTACCCGCTCGGTTACACCTTATTTAAAACTTTACCGTCCCCTTTTCGCCCAGCAAAGCAGCCTCTTGGCTTGCCGTTCGCCCCAGCTCTTTCTCCCTGGTGCTTGTGGCGGGGGGATACTGTATTTCCTGTGCCTTCAGCAGGTGCTTGTTCTTACCGGAGTTCCCTGCTAGCAGGGGTGTCCCCGAGGATAGCGTCCTCCCCGGCAACAACACCCCCTCCCCACTCCACCCCCCCAGCCCCAAAGAACTTATCGGTCCTACGCCTTGTTTCTCCGTCCCCTCTTTCTTTCCAGCGGTGTCACAGGATCAACACCCATCGGCCCAGAGGAGGGGGAGCGGCTTCTCTTCGCCTGCCCTCTTCCCGATCTCCCGGGACAGGATAAGGCCTCCGCAGCCCCTCGGGTATGTGGAAACAGAACTGCTCCCGTTAGGGCCTCGCAAAACGCCCTGAGGCACAAAACAGTGGGCAAGGACGGGGCTCCTCACCGCTATGGCTTTCGCTCTAATCGACGCTGCCTGGGAAGGGAGGAAGGAGAAGCAGGCTGAAAGAGAAGCGGCACCCCCCACCCCGCCCTCTCCGGTGCCCCGGGAGGAGCAGAGCACCAAACACCGCTTCATCGAGGAGGAAACCGACGGTAAGCCCGAGCGGAGTCCGGCCTGGACCCTCGGGAAGCCCCGTCGAGAGAGGAGGGGAACCATGCCGACACGACATTCTGAGCCTGCGTGACGTCATAGCGCACCCATGTGACATCATAGAGCACTTCCTCCCCACGCCGCCGAGTGGGCTTGCGGGGAGGTGCGCGGCAAATCAGCACGACACCAAGGCAAAGCAAACACACATACAAACCCCGCACCACAAAACCAGCCCCGCCGGATCTCCGCAGCACCCCAGCCGTCAGACGGTGCGATCCTGTCCTGCCCCAAACCCCAAAAGCCACCTCACAAGATCCGCATACAGACATGCGCATCTCAAAACGTTACTGGCAACTTTCTCACCGGGGGTACAATTTCACTTCATCAAATCCAGTCCTTGTCATCGCCTCCATTCGAAAAGGAAGGGGGAAAAGGGATAAAAAAACCCAAGCTGGCTGCCTCGGGGCGGGGGTTGTGGGTGTGTGTTGTGTTCCCGGTGGGAGAGACAGCGGCTGCCTTTGGAGAGGGGCAAAGGAGCCAGGGCAGCCTCAGCATTCCTCTCTGCGTCCTGGTCAACAAACTGGCGTGGTTACAAACCATAGCAAACATTTTATTTACAGGAGATATATATATATATATTTCTATATTTTGTCAGTGCAGTATTTCTTGGCCGGATTATTCGAAGCAACACGTTGCAACCGATGAGGACGTTGGCAAAATACTTCACATTGTAAATTGGTTCGGGGTTGGGGGGGGAGAGGTGGAAAAGAGAGGGATTTCAGAGCACGTTCTCAGAGTCCCTCACTCGGATTTCCCTGGAGAGGACAAGGGGCAGGAGACGGAGAATAAAAATAATAAGGGGGGAATAGAGAAATCCCGCTCTCCTGCGAGCAGCGCGGAGGGAGAGAGGCCGCCCCCCGCACCGCCCTCCCGGGGCTGCGGGTCCCGCATCCTCGGCTCCTCGCCCCGGGCCGGTGCCGGGCCGGCCTTACCGCTCTCCCGGGAGGGAGGAAGGGAGATAAATTAGCGCGCAGGTCCGGGCGCGGAGGCCGCCTCGTCTATAGGCCGCTCCGCGGTTCGGGGCTGGCAGCAGCAGCGGCTGGTTGCGGCGGGGAGGGGAGGCCGGTGCTGCCGGAGGACTTGCCGAGCCCGGCGGTGGGCAGGCTCCGCTCGGCACCGTCAGTCCGTTCCGTGTCGCTGGGGGCCATGTCGAGAGAGTCGGCGTCGCTGCTGTCACTGTCGCCCTCGGAGCGGCTGGGGCTGCGCTCGGGGTCCCCGGCGGCCGTAGGCGGGGCGGCGGCTTGCTGGGCCTCGGGCTCCGGCGGCAGGTCCTTGTCCTTCTGGGCTTGCGCTTCCTTGGAATGTCGCCACTTCATCCGCCGGTTCTGGAACCACACCTTCACCTGCGGCCGCACCGCCCTCAGTCGGGTGGCACGGCCAGCACCGCGCTCCGCGTACCGCTCCGCGCACCTCCCGGCCCCAAAGCCTTCCACCGGGGACAGGCAGAGCAGGGCAAAAAGGAGGGGCATGCCGAAGCTCCCTCTGCCCGCACCCGTGAGCAGCAGAGGTGGCTTTAGTTTATATTTACTACCTACACCCCCCTCCGAGTTGGTGTTTTGAGTTGGGGTTCTTTTCGTTTGTTTGTTTTTGTCTTTTCTCTCTCCTTCTACTTCTTCTTCCAGGAAACCAACTCTTGCTCAAGAAACCACAGCGTTATACAATTCTGTGCGCTGCGGGCCGTCAAAAGTGGAATCATTACAGAGTGGCGTTTAATGATTCCGTTTGAAGAAGACTTTTCACTTCCCCAGAACTAAGGATTTCACAACGCGGGGAGAGATTTAGAACGAAAAAGAAAAAAAGGAATAAAACGGGGGGGGGGGGGGGGGGGGGGGACGACACACATTAAAAATAGTGTGTTCGCTTCTACTTCCTTTGACCTAAACTGCCTCCTACAGCGAGTTGCACTTCAGTAAAGCGTACAGTATCATCTGCCTCGGCCGTGGCCCAAAGCAAAGGTGAAAGCTCCGCATCGGGCCGCGAAAAGCCGCGGACCCTGTGAGCAGGAGATCCTCGGGGCGAAGCCCCGCTCCTCATCCACCCCGCTAGGGATTAAGAAAGGGAAAAACGCTTTGCAGACACACACTACCACCACCTCCACGTCCCCCAGTCTCCCTATAAACTGGAAGTAAAGTTTTGAAATAAACCCGAGGCCGTTCTTACTTGAGCATCCGTCAGCCCCAGCATCGCCGCCAGTTGCTTTCTGTCCGGTTTGGTGACGTATTTCTGGATTTCGAACCGTTTTTCTAAGCCTTTCCTCTGCAGGTTGGAAAAAACAGCCCTCGACCAGGAACGTTTCCTCTTGTATGTCTGGGGCAGCGTGTCCTTGGTTAAAACGGCGTACGGACCTGTTGGGGGGGGCGGGGGGGGAAGAGAGAAAAGCAGGAGGAGAAAGAGAGAGTGAGAAGGAGACAGCGTTATTAATGTCGGTGCCTGAAAGAGGGGCTTAAATCGATCAAAATAACAGCTGGCCTGCGGTGCTAGGAAGGCCCGGGCCGGCGCAGCTGGATCCGGGTAGAGTGTGCTTCCTAAGGCAAGGGTGAAGCGTTTTGGGACCTAAATGTTTTCCTCTCCCCCCTCCCTACCCCTTTTCTCTCAGCCCAGGTTATTATTTTTGTTCTAAATGGGACGGTGTTTTGTGTCAGGCCCTAATCGGCTCTTCCTCCCCCCCATGCAGCCCGGCTTTCGCCCAAAATCTGAGCCTCGCTATTAAACACCCGACCCCTCCGCGACCGGGCTTCTCCGGGACCGAGGTCCCTGTGCCGCGGGAGGGAGTGTTGACGAGGGACGAGATGTACCTGGAAAAGTATCTTGAAACTGGTGCTGAACTGAGCTCCTTGGGTTTGTGTTTAAGGGACCCAGAATAGCAGAGGCCTCGTTAATGGGGTCTAGAGACGCGAAGAACTGGCCGGCGGAAGGCTGCAAGGTGGGGAGATGAACCCCAGTTTGGCGGCTGGTAGTTAATAAGGAAGTCAGATCTGTGGGCACAGGAATAAGGAGAGCTCTGTTATACCGCGGGCGAAACCGACACAACCCGGCAACCCCGGGTGGAGCGGCCTGGGGAGACCTGGCAGCCGCCTCTGTGCCTCGGGGCTCTCCTAGGAGAGGCGGCCGTGCCCGGCGATCCGGCATCCTCCGGTGGATTCGCTCCCTTGACCAGGGTGTTTATACGCCGCGGAGGGAAAAAGGGGGGGATATTGCAGCGAAAGCCGTTAAAACAGGCTGTGCCCTCGGAGGCAAAACCCCCGGGCTCGCTTAGGGAAGTGAGGCCGTTCCGATCCCGATGTTCCCGCTATCACTATGTGTGACAGCGGCGCAAGTGCTGCCTGAGCGGGGCCGGGCTGTTTGGGGAGCTCTATTAGAGGCTCGGATTTATCAAGCTTCTTTTTTAACCCCCGAATAACTCTTTTCTCGGCTAGATCATAAAGTTTTAAAACTTTCACTAATAATACTATTAGAGTATAAATAAAGGAAAGCGGTCAAGGCGGTTTCTCTACCTCTCAGCGTGTTGCCTTCCTTGACTTTGGGGTCAAACTCCGCCGATAAGATGCGGTCGATGCCGAATTTCAGGTCCTTGCTGGCCGGAGCCGGCGCCGAACCGGGCGTGTGGCCGCCGGGCAGCCGTGCTGGGGCCGGGCCGCCACCGCCGCCAGCCGCCGCCGCAGCGGGGGACCGGTGCTGCGGGGCCCGGTGGTGCTGGTGGTAAGCGGCGGAGAGCGGCGAGAGGCGCGGCGGGAAGGCGGCGGCCGGGGCGTCGGGGGGCACGACGGGAGTGGGCCGGAGCGGTGAGGCGGTGGCATGGAAGGGACCGCCGTGGTGGACGGCTCCCAGCGCCGCCGGCATGCCGGTACCGGGAGCTCCGGGCAGGCTGTCGGTGGGTCCCCCCGCCGCTTCTCCTCCGGCGTGGAGGATGTCTGCGATGCAGAAGGACGGCTTCTTCCCCGCCGCGGTGTCCAGCGGGAAGCAGCCGCCGGCTGCCGGCCCCGATGCCGAGCAATAAGCCGCTGACCACAAGCTGAAGTTGGAGGCGTAGAAAGGAGCCAACCCGGCCGTGTACATCCTGCCCGGGGACGGGACGCGACGTTTCGCTGTTCAGCTCCCGGGTGCGCGCCGCGGAGCTGCCCGCTGCCCTGGGCGCATGGGGGGGATATGACGAGAGGCGGATGGTGGAGTAGCACTTGCCGGAGGGGCAACCACCACCACCCAAAACCAAAACAGCAAGAAAAAGGAAAAAGTCCCCAAAACCCACGGCGAGACGGAGAGAGCGAGCGGACGAGGAGCAGCGCAAACAAAACAAACTCAAACCAAACCCCCTTTCCTCGCACTGCGGGGGGGGGGGGGGGGGGATTATTTACCCCTCCCCAAAACTTTCTCTGGCAGCGACACTCCCGGCTCCGGATCAGCCTTCGCTCTCTCCCCGCCTCCAATCGGCGATCGGCGGGGCCGGGCAGCACCGCCCGCAGAACACGCCCATGAAGAGCCGGGGCGTGGGCAAGGGACACCGCGCAGTTGCGCGCAACTGCGCGCAACTGCGCGATGTCCCTTGCGCACGCCCCGTCCCGAACTGATTTGCCCCGCAAGCTACCCCCTCTCAAATTCCACTCTTGACTTTTACACCCCCCCACCCCCAAAAATGTCTCTGCTCTTGCTGCAGCGATTTCCAACCGTTTGAAAGAGACGCGCAGACCAGTTCTTGGCGATGGGAAGCAGTTCGGTCCTCCTGGAAACGATTCCCGAGGAAATGTGTTTCCTTCCCGGATAAATGAGCCTAGGATAGTCTGGAAGAAAATGATTCTGTGCTGATGCACGCAACGTATGTGTTTGTGAGAGCTCTGAGCTATGTCGGGCCCAGGACACGTTGGATCCTTCATTAGCAGCTACTAATTAATTAATTAATCAATAGTGGTTTGTCCATTTTGTAGTTTTACAGCTATTTTCCGTGTTCTCCAGCCGAGAGGCTGCATCTGTTTCCACACCAAGTTCACCTGGAAAACCATTTGTGATTTTGCAAGCTTCTGATAACTGAATCACACCCATTTTTCGCTTTACAATACAATTATTACCTATATCCGCTGCAGTAATTTAGGGAGAAATTGATGAAAGCGTCTTTTGCGCTATTTTCTCTCCCTTTTGGCATCCACATTTGTCCCGACCTCGCTCTGAAGCACAACATTCCTTTAGTTTTCTTGCACGTAAACCGGTCGCTGCCGTTTTGAGCAGGCTCCCGGGTCAGACCATTGCAGGTTTTCTTTGATTTTGTTATAAAAAAAAACCATTCTTATTATTATTTTCTCAAATAGCTTCCCAAATTCTGAAGGATTTCGGGGAACCACAAAGGGAAACTATTTCTTTTCCCGTGAAGTACGAAGCCGTAGCTCCTGTGTGAATACTGAATCCACCTGGGAGCGAGGGGGATGCGCTTCTTGGGCCGATTCCCCGCAGCGCTTCGCTTTGCTTTATATTAACGACACGAAACCGGAAAATAAAGACGGGCCGGCCTGCCAAGATGTGTCCCAAAACCGAAGGCGAACCTTGGTTGATTAAGTTTGAGGTCTTCCTGCTTCGACAGCGGAAACCCCCTTTCCCCATTCTTGTCCTCCCCGCGGTGACGAGCTGGGCTCCAGCCTCTCGCTCTCAAACCGCATCGAAAGACTCCGGTTCCTGTATCACTGCCATGAGCCTGGCCGGGCTGGGGGCAAAGGATTCAGCTCTGCAGCTGCCACCGGTACCGAGATCCCTGCTAGTCAGGCCGTCGGGGGATGGTGGGGGAAACGACACAACACCAAAAATACCCCCAAACAGGGTGGTTTTCTTTTATTTTAGGAATTTATTTCACTGCTGCGCTGGCCCCACTGCCGAGCGAAGCGCCCGTTGGCGGGTGCTGGTGCCCGGGACCCCGCTGGTCGGCGAGCAGAGCAGTGCTCCTTCGGCGCTGTCACCTCGAGGGGACCGAAATAACCCGAAAGGAAACATTCACCACGTCGCAATGAAGCACTTGACTCCCCCCCACTCCCCCGGGGTGAGGGAGCTCCGGAGCCGGGACCGCGGGCGCAGCTGCTTTTCCGGGGCCGCCCCCGGTTCAGCACCCCGCGCATCCTCCGCTGGGCGAAACCAGGAGCACCTGCATTACCCCCGCCCCGTCCGCTCCCTCTGTCGGGGTCCCCTCTCCCCGAGGTGTCCCTCCGCAGGTGTACCTTCAGGGAGGAGCGGGGCTGCGAGGCCGCGGAGGCGGCGGCCCCTCCTCCCCGCGCAAGGAGGGAGAAGGCTGCAGGAAGCCCGGGGCTCGCTGCAGTCCAGGTCATCTCCTGTTTTTTGAGAGGTCCCAACTCGGACTAAATGAGCGGATGTGCCTGCGAGATTTGTCCCAAAATAGAAGCGGCTTTAGTATTTTAGGATACAGCAGAAATCCTTATTTCTTCCGGAGAAAAACTTCATAATGAGCGCGAGCACTTCCCTTTTCAATATTTGTGCAACTTTATCTCGACCAGCAAGTTGCTTTGGTGACGCAAATCCGCCCTTGTGTATTGCAACTACAAAAATAAATGCAAGGAAATCAATTCCCTTCTAGCAATGAAAACATAAATATACAGCTGCGACTTTCCCCTTTAATCTTGCTTTCCGAGGGACTCGAGAAGGAGGCGAATGAACTGTGCAGCAGGAGCGATGCCTCCTTTTTATTTTTTTCCTTTTGTAATGGAGTCTGGAAAGACTTTTTTTTTCCTTTCCCCCCCCCTTTTTTTTTCTTTTTTTTTTTGTTTCCTCTTTTTTTTCTCCTGTCTTTTTCTTTTTTCTTTTCCCCCCCCCCCCCCCCCCCGAGGCTGACGAAGGAGGTGAGTATATGTGTATATATATACACTGACAAAGGAGTGTATATATACATACATATATACACATGTACTCGAATATATATATGTATGTATATGTATACACATATACATATTCGAGTTCTTACAAGGAGAAAACACAAGGCCCGACCATAAGGTACGGCAGCTCCCCAGCCCCACTCTCGGGCAGAGGCCGCTCTTCGGGCTGTCCTTGTCCCTCGGGGCTCCCCGTCGAGCTGCGGCGGCCATACAGATCTGTGTAATATATAGATGGAATACGTAAAAAGAAGAACAAACTGTTTACCCCACTGTCTTTAGGAGTACCCGTAACAAGAGCGATATTGCAACGCCGCTGGAAGCCCCCCCCAAGGGCGGTCCCGCTGAGCACCGCGCACCCCCGGCCGACCTCCGGCCGCAAAGCCCGTTCTCTGTCGCCACCTGCTGACCCCCCCTCGAGGCACCCCTGGGACGTGGCTCTCCCTCCAGCTCCATGCGAGCAGGGAGGGAGCGAAGGTTGGGAGCCAAACGGTGGGTGAATGGAGGACGGGAGCTGGTCAGCCCTAGGCATTTCCTCTCTTGTTTTACGCGTTACCGAGTACCTGTGTCAGTAACGCTGTGCCACTTTCCGAGCATTCGAATCCCTGTCCCTCAGTATGTGAGTTTGGGCCAGGGTGTGTTTTCAGAGGGAATTGCCTGGTCCTGACCAACCTGTGGAGAGCTCTCCGGGTGCACAAGCGGGTACCCCGATGAGAATGGAGTCAGCTGGGCATGCTGAAATTACTCTGAAGCAAAATCCTCCTAAAAGTGCTGTGTGGGGGTGGTCTGAAAACTCAGTGGGGGGTTTCTGTGTGTCCTGATAAATGACCATATGTTACAGTCAAAGGGGTCTCATCGAACAGGTCCATATTTTGGAGCAGATCAGAGCCCAAGGCTTCCAACTCCAATACAACAGCCACTGAGCTGGAGGGGCTAGAGCAAGATGATCTCAAGGTCCTTTCCAACTCAAACCATTCTATGATTCTATGATTTCTCACACTGGCATGTTTGCCCTCCATGTCTTCCCTTCAACCGTTCCAATGAAATACGTTAGATCATGTGAAGCTGATGGATTCCAAGTGGAAAGACCTTTTGCACTCTCCCAAATGCTTTGTAGTCCTTCAAGTCCCTTCAGACAGAGAGGGGACCTGAAAACACTGATTCTTGTTTTCCCTCTTTCTTGAGTGCCTGGGTTAGAGATCTGCATCCTCCCCTTACAGAGAGAGGGGTGACCTTTCCTTTTTCCTTTTCCTCACCCCCCTTTTTTCTTTCATGAAAAGCTGCAGACACATAAATCCTAAAGAAGGGTCTGGATGATAAATAGCAGCTGAGAAGAAGCTCCTCTCCACAACCCTAGGAAGGGAGGCTGTGTTCCAAGGAGCAGCAAGGTCACTACAGTCCCTTCCTGGGGGTTTCCTATGGGTTAGAGCAGGCAGGTCCTGCCTGCTATGCTGGCTTTCCTGAAGCCCATTTTTAAGCATCTGATGCTGTGCTGGAGCCGGGGACTCTGAGCAAGGTGCTTGAAGTTGAAGTGCCAGTCTCGCACACTCACTCCATCACATCCCTGTCTGCCTCTTGCTGTCCCCAGGGAAGTCGAACAGGAGAAAATTAATTCTTCCAGTAAAAAAAGGGGTTGTTTTCTACCATAGTTCCCCAAACTTCTTTATCATGTGGCCAGTCAGGGTGAGGGACTTGGCGGAAACATACATTCGGGGATTGGGGTTGGCAGGACTGCTGTGACCCTCTTCTAGTCTGCTCTAACCTCTCACCAGGTCACCCGTTAATTTAAGTGCTGCCTCTTGGAGCTGCTTCCTGCAGTCTCACACGGGTTCTTCTCGCATGGAAAGACCCTGAGTTTGCTTTCATTTCCATTGGCATCACTGATTTCATAGGTTACTTCACCTTTACACCAAGGCCCAGCCGTAATCTGTTTATAGAGGGAGTTATCACAGGCTAGTTGCAATTTTCCAGGCCACACTAACAGAGAGGTCTGCAGAGAGCTGGTCTGCAATTAACCCCCTGGCAACTGATTAAAGGTGACATGACGTGCAGGAGTGCTGACCCCCTGCTCTAATGTGCAACTGCCGATGAGAGAAGCATTCGCATGCACACGCTGGATTGAGCTTGCACAGGGCACAGAGGCTGAGAACAAGAAGCAGCTCATGAATATGAAGGTGATTCACTTCTCAGTGCAGAAAGATCACCCACAGGTATTTCCTATATCTGACAAGAGAGCATGATTACACCTTTTTCAAGTGAGACCCAAAAGCAAACTGTTGAGGACAGGCTCAGTGTATCTTAGTTGAAGTTGCATATTCAGGTGCAAGTACAGATGGTTGACCTGAACAGAGGATTTTGTTATTCCCATAGTGGGTCATCCCCCCTGTGATTCTGTTAGAGCAACCCCACCTATTTTTACAAGACCATGCTGAAAGGAGTGCTCAGGCATTGAAACAAGCTTCCCAGGGCAGTGGTGGAGTCACCATTCCTGGAAGTGTTCACAAACCATGTAGATGAAGCCCTCAGTTGCACGTTTTAATGGTGACTTTGGCAGCCTTGGAGAGTTGATGATCTTAAAGGTCTTTTCCAACCCAGTTGATTCTACGATTTTATTCTATGGTTCTGTGATGCTTTAGGCCCTCTGCCTCTTCAGCAGCAGTACATTAAAGGCACTACACAGAAAAGCCACTCAGTATCAGAAGGAAACACTAATAACTGCTTAATAAAAGTTTCAGTAAGAAAGAGTTTCCTCCTTCTTGCCAACAGCGGACCAAAATGTGGGGAAGCTGGAAATAAAGCAATCAGAATGCAGTCACATAAAAGGCAAAATCAGCCTCGGAAGGAAGTCAAGTTTCTAGAAGAAAATTACTTTGTAAAGTTCATCTGGATTTGAGAACAGTTATTGGTTTTGTTCCAGCCCTCCTTTCATGTTCTAAGTGGACTCAAATGCAGTAGGTACACATCAGTCCAGCTTTAAAACCACCTCTTTCATTGCTATTAGCCTGTATAAAACCCCAGCAAAATGCCATCATGGCTCTTAAAAACAAATCCCATTTTAACCTTTTTTTGCCCAAGGGAGATGCTTTCTGGTGGGTGCCAAATGGAAGTGCCAGCCAGGGGAGTTTTATGATCCCATAAACAAGCACACTGGATTATGTAGCATATATATCGCACCCTCCGGACCAGTTTCCCTTGCTGGAACCCAATCTGCCCTAAATGAAGTCCAGGCATCCCTTCTGAGCTCCATGGGCAGACCCCAGCTTCCCTGTGCCAGGCTTCACCAGGTCCTGGAAGATCCTGGTCCCCTCCTGAGGACCTGGTAGGGTATGGAGATGCTCTGGGAGCTGAGCAGAGTGGCGTAAGGTATCCCCTTCCCAGCTGCGGGTCTGGGATGCTGCCTA